CTGGCTTACTTCCTCCAGAAGCATTTCTAGTTTTGAGTGTTGTAAAGTTTTAGCGGGTCGGTACCGCTTGTCTGCTGTGCACGGACTCACTACTCTGATGTGGTCATTTGCTTGTCCTCGTTTCCCTTTATTTACTTATTTCCTCCTCTTCTCACGTGGAACAAAACAAAACATCATTGGAGATTGTGCAAATGATGATTTTTATTTCGGGCAGTTTCGACCTTCATCTTTTGAGGGCTGAAGATGCCCTTGTGTGCCGGTGTCAATCAGATGCGCGGGCCAGCAGTGCAACTACTTTTGCAGCCACTTGGCAGGGAGATACCATTGAAGAGTGGCCCATTTTCACCGACATGTTGTCTTATTTGCCCGACGTTTGCATCAACGCTGAAATTGTGGTAGTAATGTGTGGGTGACATAACACAAAATGCTTCTTGTGACATGTCCATGTGCATTTTGACTGCGCAGGCTCGCACAAAATGCTTGCCTTGGAATACGGGTCCGGCATTTCCCTGCAAATTTCCACACGAAATGCCTCTTATCACATGTCCATGTGCATTTCGCCTGCGCGGGCTCGCGCAAAACGCTGGGGGACGTTTGCAGTTGACTTGTCAATAGCGGTTTATAGATAGGTTAAGCGTTGCGCTTGACCATTTGGACTTTGGTTTGGAGACCCGGCGGGCTTTCTGAAACAGAGTGTGCCACCCTGTCTGATTTCCCGCTCTTTGTTGGGACCTAGCACGTGACGCTTAGATCGGCTTGAACACAGCGATCATCCATGAAGCTGGCGTGAACCTATCGCGTTTCCGTCTTGTATTTTAAATGTCAGATGTTCAGTTGGAGATGTTCCAACCTTGTGAGCTGATTCACAAACATGAATGCACCAACTGTCAGTTTAAACAAACGTGCAACGATCAATGAATTTTGCTTGTCATTTAACATGTGTAATGCAAACGGGGTCACTCATTTCTTTTTCTCAAGAAATGTTTGGATTCAAGTGGGTTTTGTGTCACCGTGCCAGTGTGATCCAGCTTGGAACAATTTAAGATTTTCCCCATGCTTTGACAGGAAAAAGAAAACTGAATGTGCAAGTGTGTTTCAGCTTCAACTTGTCGACGGCAGTTTTTCACATGTCCGCATGTCACATGTTATTTTTGGTTTTATTTTCACATGCGTTTTTTTTCTGCGCGTAACTTGGAAGGATGACTTCTAGACTTGGCGTCTTAGCCGGTAACTTATATATATATATAATATAGGTTTGTCTGAAAATGAGTAATTTACGTCATTTTCAACATGACATGAAATGTCACCACCGGATGAGCGGAATTCGTTTTTTTGTTTCATGGCTTATTCACCACGAGAACAATTTTTTTCAAACCAACCAACTCAAAACAAATCAGTTTGAGTGAGTTCGTTTGTTTTGTTTGTAAGAAGCAGTCACAACATGTGACATCTTTGTTTTGCTTCAAGGGAAGCAACCATGTGATTTCGGTTTTGCTGGTTGTTTACGACGTTTTTGACGGGGAGACGTTGTAGTAAGGTGTAACTGGTTGGTTCGCGGTAAGTAGACTGCACGCACGCGAGCATAAAGATCCTTATTTGGGATTCTACATATTTGCAGCCTGCTACCGCAAAAACGTCAAAAATATCCAGTTTGCAGCTGTCACATTTTCACCTGGGAGCCTGCCACCGCAAAAAAAAATCTAAAAAGGTTCAGTTTTCAACTGCCGCACTCACCTGGGAGCCTGCCACCGCAAAAACGTCAATAATATCGAGTTTGCAGCTGTCACATTTTCACCTGGGAGCCTGCCACCGGAAAAAAAATAACAGGAAAAATCAACTTGCAGCTGTCGCATTCTCACCTGGAAGTAAACCAACAAAAAATTCCCAGTTTCCTGAAATCTGGTAGATGAACTTTTGTCGAGGTGGGATAGAATAAGGTTTTTTTTAAAATCATATCAATCTTCCTTTGTGAAAAAAAAGTTCTAATCTATCCCACCTTCTGTTTTGCAATCTGGATTTGACATTTTTTTGATGGCAGGCCCCCAGATGATACACTTGCAAGCTGCACATTTGTTCATTTTTTGTGGTGGCAGACTCCCAGATGACTGTGGTAGTTGAAAGTTGAAAGCTAACCTTCTTTACTTTTTTTTTTGGCGGTGGCAGGCCCCCAGGCGAAAATGTGACAGCTGCAAACTGGATATTCTTGACGTTTAGGCGGTGGCAGGCTCCCAGATGAGAATGCGACACTTGCAAGCTGCACATTTGTTCCCTTTTTCGGGTGGCAGGCGCCCAGGTGAGCGTGACAGTTGCAAACTGAAATTTCTTGACCTTTTTTTTTGCGGTGGCAGGCTCCCAAGTGAAAATGTGACAGCTGCAAGCTGGATATTCTTGATTTTTTTGCGGTGGCAGGCTCCCAGCTGAACCTTCTTGACCTTTCTTTTGCGGTGGCAGGCTCCCAAGCGAAAATGTGACAGCTGCAAGCTGGATATGCTTGACGTTTTTGCGGTGGCAGGCTCCCAGATGAGCGTGGCAGTTAAAAACTAAACCTTCTTTACCTTTTTTTGCGGTGGCAGGCTCCCAGGTGAAAATGTGACAGCTGCAAGCTGGATATTCTTGACGTTTTTGCGGTGGCAGGCTCCCAGATAAGTGTGGCGGTTGAAAGCTGAACCTTCTTTGCTCTTTTTTTTGGCGGTGGCAGGCTCCCAGGTGAAAATGTGACAGCTGCAAGCTGCCTATTCTTGACGTTTTTGCGGTGGCAGGCTCCCAGATGAGTGTGGCAGTTGAAAACTAAACCTTCTTTTCTTTTTTTTTCGGTGGCAGGCTCCCAGGTGAAAATGTGACAGCTGCAAGCTGCCTATTCTTGACGGTTTTGCGGTGGCAGGCCCCTAGATGAGTGTGGCAGTTGAAAACTAAACCTTCTTTACCCTTTTTTTTGCGGTGGCAGGCTCCCAGGTGAAAATGTGACAGCTGCAAGCTGGATATTCTTGACGTTTTTGCGGTGGCAGGCTCCCAGATGAAAATGCGACACTTGCAAGCTACACCTTCTGTGGTTTTTTGCGGTGGCAGGTTCCCAGATGAGTGCGTCAGTTGAAAGCTGAACCTTCTTAACCTTTTTTTTTTTGCGGTGGCAGACTCCCAGGTGAAAATGTGCATTTTTGCGGTGGCAGGCCCCCAGATGAGTGCAGCAGTTGAAAGCTGGACCTTTTTTTTTTTCCCCGGCGACAGGTTGTAACATTCGCTTCGGGGTCCTGGTATGAGGTTGTGGTATGAGGCAGGCCCTTGCGTAGCAACGTAGTGCGTATAGAGTTGTTTCTTCTACCAAAACAAGTTCCTGTTGCTGCAGCTGCGATAATGTCTACCCTGATCTGTTCTTGTTGTTTCTGGCAAGCAGAACTGGCGATGAGGGATGAATTTAACGTTGGGCTAAGGTGCTTAAACGTTCAAGATACCACAAAAGGTTTTGGTTCATTTTGACAGCAGAACGGTGGTCATGGAAGTCCAAAACATCTAAGGAGTGTGTAACAACTCACCTGCCGAATGGACGCAAGGGTTGCGATGCAGCTTTTGGCGTGAGCCTCAATTTTTTGTGGAAGAAGTGGGCCGTTTTTGGCAAGCAGAACTGGCGATGAGGGATGAATTTAACGTTGGGCTAAGGTGCTTAAACGTTCAAGATACCACAAAAGGTTTTGGTTCATTTTGACAGCAGAACGGTGGTCATGGAAGTCCAAAACATCTAAGGAGTGTGTAACAACTCCCCTGCCGAATGGACGCCAAAGTTGCGATGCAGCTTTTGGCGTGAGCCTCAAATTTTTGTGGAAGAAGTGGGCCGTTTTTGGCAAGCAGAACTGGCGATGAGGGATGAATTTAACATTGGGCTAAGGTGCTTAAATGTTCCAGATGCCACAACAGGTTTTTCTTCATTTTGACAGCAGAACGGTGGTCATGGAAGTCCAATACATCTAAGGAGCGTGTAACAACTCACCTGCCGAATGGACGCCAGGGTTGCGATGCAGCTTTTGGCGTGCGCCTGAGCGAACCAGTTTATACATCTGAGTTTGCATGTCTCTTCATGATTGCGTAGTACGACGCGCGTTTGTGGAAGGCCCAGTACTGTTTGTTGGCAGGTGCAGCTGCTTAGTTGAAAGAAAAGCCGCAGGGGATCCCCTTGAACCCCTGCAGTCAATGTTGACATGCCGCGGACTTTTCAGAATAAATGTTTGATGTCTATCGAGGAGACCTCCCAGAATGAAAGCCTTTCATGTCTATTGATGTCTGTTCGATCGGTATTCAAACATTGACAAATTTCAACATTGACCGCAGGGGTCGCAGGGGATTGGGTGTGGTCACGTTTTTCTAGGGGTCTCTAGCAAACGAAATGAGAACGCAGAAATAGATAAGATGGGACGGAATTAATTACATTAGCAGAAAAAGCGACTAGAAGAATGTAGACGTAGCTGACACAGCATGCTGTGGTGAATTGTGGCCCCTGATACCGTCAGTGCGCACGATGCTTCAGTACAGATCTTACGTCGATTTCGTGCAGAGCACAGCTGCCCACACCACAAGATTAAAAGGCGTGCTGTGTGCCGTCATGCTTTTGGGTTCTCTGGCCCACCTTGCTTTTGTCACTTTAACGCTGACTGCAGGGGTTGCAGGGGACTTGGACTGGCCCAGATGTTATCATTGTACTGAGGAGCTGGAATGAAACCTTTCGCCTGCAGCCATCCTGTGAAGGCTCCACCGACCTTTGCATGCTCTTCGAGAATATCCTTCACTATTTCCGATTGGCTACATTGTCTTTGCCGTGATGGGGCCATTTTTGGAATCGAAATATAGGCCCTATTTAGGGGTTGATGGTTTGTTCTGTGATAGTATTTACAGAATGCTCTCTCTCTCTCTCTCTATATACATATGTATGCATATTTGCATTATCGTACATGTGGTTAGTCTTACACATGCATGTCATACATGCTACTCGGGGCGCTGTGTGGGCCTTGCAGGTATCGCTATGAGTGCAGCAAGATCGGAGGCCTTGGCACCTGCTTTGACTACTACAGTGCGCAGGTGCGGCCGGGACGTCGTTTGGAAATTAGAACTTGCTGCCGAAACCTGGAGGCGAGCCGTGCGAGCCAAAAAGGGTCGCACCCTACACTTCTACAGTTCCAAACTGCCACTTCCTTGCTAGCTTTGGTAGCCTTCGTCCACACCTTCAAAATTTTGGCAGGTGGACGTGCCTTCCTTTGGGCAAGAGAAGACCCACTGGAGCAAACCCATGCGCATGTTGACGGTGACCTGTGGCCACAACTCAGTGCTGGGAGGTTTTCACTTCGAGTTCTCGGAAGGGGGTCGCTGGGGCCGCGTGCGCTATCAATGCTGCAAAGCAGGAGGGGCGCCGGTGACCTTCGATCCGCGAGGGCAGCTGTCGCAGCTGGTGAGTCCGTTTGATGGGACCTACTGCCCCACTGCTCGTGATGCGTCCGGCCGACCCCAATATGGATCCAGCAACGAACAAACCCTGACCTTTGACCGAGATGCTTGGAAGTGGTGCATCGGCAGCCACTGCAGCGCGGATACTGATGTGGCTTCCCCCCTGGGTCTTGTCACAAAAACTTGGGAGGTGGTGAATGTGAGTGACTTCAATGGAGAATTCGAGGGACAAATGCCCAAAGAAGGGACCAAGGGAATGTCCCTGCAAGATGCCTTGAAGATGAAACCTCCTAAAAGACCAAAGGCGCCTCCCATGCAGGAATTACAGGACATGCCTTGGGAGTGGATTTTGAAGTGCCACGGTCTGTGTTCAACTGGGGTTTACCTCGAGGTACAAAGCACGACTTTCAAAGCTTTTAGGGTTACCAGACACACCAGCATCCCCAGGAGTTCAAGGCGGAACAGCCCAAATATGCTGCAGAGTGCTTGAACTACCAGAATCTGTGGAAGAAGGTGACAGAAACGTTCAAGGACGAGGAGGCCAGTTGCCACAGATTCAAAAACTAGCAATCTACGGGTTGATTCAGCGTTGATGCTGACGATTTACCTTACGATTTAGGCTATTCTAATATGGAGATGTGTCAAAACCTCGTAATTATCATGTTTCGAGGGGATGAGCATCCATTTGCCACGTATGTACCAAGCCACCAGGCTGGGTTTTGACCCATCCCATAGCCAAATATGTCTTTTAAAATGGAGCATACTGAGCATACAGTTGGATGGAATGGACCAGGACAACCAAGTGGAAAAGACTGAGAAGCTCTTGGCTGAGCCCACCACCGAGGGTGCTGAGCTGGATGACTACCATCCCTGTGAGGTACGAGCTTCCACCAAACATCTCTCAACTGATTGGTGGTCTGGGATAATCCTTCTCATTACCAGTAGTACCGCACAAGGCGGTGGCGGAAGTTTCAAAAATAGGAAGCCTATAGGAGAGTGGCTGTTGTGAATCAGGGATGGCAGAGCGAATCCACTGATGGACCGAAAGGTGCTTGAGGTCTCCTCTCTTTCTCTCTCTTTCTCTGACTATCTACTTACCTACCAGCCTATCTTCTATGTATCTATCTATCTATCGATCTATCTATCTCTCTCTTTCTCTCTTTCATCTAATTACCTATCTACCTATCTACCTATCTATCTCTCTCTCTCTCTCTTTCATCTGTCTATCTGTCTAGCTGTCTACCTGTCTGTCTATCTATCTGTCCATCTGTCTACCTGTCTATCTGTGGTGCAGCGTCATTCAGTGCAATGTAGTGTAGTGTAATGTAGTGTAGTGTAGTGGAGTGTAGTTCATGAAACTTCTGTCTGCCCCCCCCAGAAAAATAAGAAAATACAAGGGATGCAACAAGCAGTGAAGGTTAATAAGCCCTTAGTATCAGGTTATTAACCAGCTAATAGACCTCTATTTGTTGGGACACAAAACAAGTTATTAACCCGCTATCGACAGCTTATTAACAGAGATTTTGCCATTTGGAACTGCGCATTTTATCGGTTTCCCTTTGAAATCAGTAATAGATGGCTATTAAGGATTTCAGGTGGGCAATGAGTTTGTGGTGCTGTCAAAATAATGCCACCTTCCACGAGTTGCTTGAAACCGCTAGTAGATTGTTATTAAATATTTTTGGTGGGAAATCGTTTTTGGTGGGATCCAAAATATTCCAAAGTAAATGGATGCGAATCGGAATTCTGGTTGCCTCCCCACGATGCGCCTCATAAAATAATGACAGGCCAAATCTTCAATTGCAAACCTTTTGCTCTCAAATCTTCCAAAGCAGAATCCCTTAATAACCAGCTAATAAGAAAGCATATGCCCATGTCTGTTTACGCACTGCGATTCCAACGCTCGAGCTCCAAAACGGAACTGAAACCCTTAATAAACAGCTAATAAGAAAACACCTGCCCGTGAGTGTTTGCGCGCTGTATTTCCAACGCGCGAGCTCCAAAATGGAAGGGAAACCTTTAATAACCATCTAATATCAAAACCACATGCTTGTGATTATTTGCACGCCTTGTCTTCAGTGCGCGCCTCCAAACCGGAACCAAAAAACTTAATAACCTGCTATTAATTTTTGGTGCCACCTTGCAATCCGGGGGGGTGCAACTGGGGGGGGCAGACAGAAGCTTCATGAGTAGTGGAATGTAGTGTAGTGTAATGTAGTGTAGTGTAGTGTAATTTAGTGTAGTGGAGTGTAGTTGTGTAGTCGTAGTTGTAGTTGTAGTTGTAGTGTAGTGGAGTGTAGTGTAGTGTAATGTAGTGTAGTGGAGTGTAGTGTAGCGTAATGTAGTGTAGTGTAGTGTAATTTAGTGTAGTGGAGCGTAGTGGAGTGTATTGTAGTGGAGTGTAGTTGTGTAGTTGTGTAGTTGTAGTTGTAGTGTAGTGGAGTGTAGTGTAATGTAGTGAAGTGTAGTGGAAGGTAGTGCAGTGTAGTGTAATGTATTGTAGTGTAGTGGAGTGTAGTGTAGTGTAATGTAGTGTAGTGTAGTGTAATTTAGTGTAGTGGAGTGTAGTGGAGTGTAGTTGTGTAGTTGTGTAGTTGTAGTTGTAGTGTTGTGGAGTGTAGTGTAGTGTAGTGGAGTGTAGTGTAGTCTAATGTAGTGTAGTGTAGTGAAGCGAAGCCAGCGACATCTGAACCTCCAAAAGTGGTCCGAACTCCTGGTGTTTTTAACATGTTGACTTCGAAATGTGCTTTGCGCCACAACGGCGTGCACTTTTTCGACATCTCAACTTCCAAAAGTGCTCCGAGACCCAGGTGTTTTGTACTTTTTCACTTCGAAATGTGCTTCGCGCCACAACGGCGTGCACTTTTTCGACATCTCAACTTGCAAAAGTGCTCCGAGACCGCAAGTTTTTAACATGTTTTACTTCCAAATGTGCTTCGCGCCACAACGCCGTACACTTTTTCGACATCGCAACTTCCAAAAGTGGTCCGAGACCCAGGTGTTTTGTACATTTTCACTTCGAAATGTGCTTCGCGCCACAACGCCGTACACTTTTTCGACATCGCAACTTCCAAAAGTGGTCCGAACCCGTGGTGTTTTTAACATTTTGACTTCGAAATGTGCTTCGCGCCACAACGGCGTGCACTTTTTCGACATCGCAACTTCCAAAAGTGGTCCGAACCTGGTGTGTTTTGTACATTTTGACTTCGAAACGTGCTTCGCGCCACAACGGCGTGCAATTTTTCATCTCTCCTCTGGCCAGCTGGCTCCGCACCCGCCGCTTTACTGAGCCTACTTTTCGACCCTCCGAAGCCACAAATCATTGGAAAAACACAGTGAATCGCGACTTTCCTACCTTTTTGCGCATCTCCATCTTCTTTCTTCTTACTCTTTCTCTTCTACTCTTCTCTCTTCTGATCTTTCTCTTCTCTCTGCCTCTGCCCTGCTCTGCTTTTCATCTGTCCATATTGTCGGAAGTTTGACTTCTAAACTTCCTTCGGATATTTTTCAAGATGGTTAAAGCCACCAAACATCTCTCAAGATTCCCATGTGTTTTTGTGCAGTTTCTCCATGGCTCCATGGGATTTTAAGTTCGCTTCCAGCACAGGTGGCCAAGGGCGCGGGTGGCATTTTTGGTCCCTGGGGTGGAGGTGATGGATCCACCGCCCCAGTGCCTAGGAATGATAAGAAGGGCCAGGGTAGCTTCGCCGTGGAAGATCCGGTCAAATTCTGCCCAAAACAGGAGGTCAACCGAAACCGTGCCAAATTTTCCCTTGCGAATGTAGTACATATCTATACTATACACATCTATACACCGAAGTTCTCTGAGGTTGTTTTTCAGATCATTTGATGCTTATTTCACGAAGACTTCGCAGCGGCCTACACAAAGATTCCGTGCTTTCCCGTTTCGCCCCTTTCGCCCGTTTCGCCCGTTTCGCCCGTTTCGCCCGTTTCGCCCGTTTCGCCCGTTTCGCCCGTTTCGCCCGTTTCCCGGGTCCTGGGATGTCCTGGGTGTCATCCCATTGCATTTAGGAGAATATGATGTATGCGGACTGGAATGACTGCATCTTGGCAGTTTGATTGGTGCGCTATGGGTGGTGTTTTGAATCAATTTTCTCAAATTGCTTGATCCAGGGGTGGATATAGGGTTGTAAGCAATTTTAGAGTGCTATTTAGAGAGCGATCAACACAGTATCATTTGGAGATGGGTATTGTATGGTCTATATTTGAGTGCTGGAGGAACCACTCGAGGCATGCAAGGCGACATTGAGCGCGACTTGGCGTCTGCCAGATTGGACTACCACGGGGCCTTGACCGAGTTCATCATGGACATGGTGGAAGCTGGAGGCGGAATGATCTGCGACGCCATTCCAGATGCTGCTCGGACCTGAAAGATACCTGCCGGCGGCCCCGTTGCCCCAAGTCGAAGCATTGGGACACCTGGTACGCCCCCAAAAAGTTAGAGGCTTTTGTTAGCAAACTCTAGTAAATTGCATGTAGATGTTTGCTAAGGTTGGTTGCCACACTTTCATCCATCCTACTTTTTCGCTGCAGGTGATGATCGCACCTTTTGGTACGGGGGTGGGAATGAACCCTGGCAAAATCTGCGAGGGTGCGATGGAGCTGGTGGGAGCTATCAAGACTTTCGCAGGCCCCGCGAGCGGATTCCACTTTGCAAAGCAGGGCTGGGAAATTGAGCCACTTGGCTGGCTAAGACCGGTGATCCACTAGGGAAAAACGCACCTTGAAGCTGCATAAGCTGCCTGTCGGCGGCCCCTATGATAGCTGCAGTACGGAAGCAAGTAGATATTCACATATTCAATGATATTTCTCAATTGGTGTGGTGCGACCTTGTGTGACTTTCAGCTGCGTGTACATACGCACAGACAGAGAGAGAGAGAGAGAGAAAGATGTATATACATACATATATATCATATACCTATGATTTTTGGACATATTTGCGCAATTGCGCTAGTGTTCCCAAAAGTTCGCAACAAAAAGCCAGGAGTTTCAAACGCCAGATGATTCAAAAAAGCAGCCAAGGCAAGAGGGCTACGCTGCTTGCAACCCGATGCAGATTGGCTTTGCGCGTGCCTTTTGTGACATCCATTGCGTCCGGGATGCCGTGATTCGGGGTGATCGTTCCATCGTCCGAAACTTGGAGTTGGCCACCAAAAAGACCAACAACAACATGGCAGCGTTGATGAAGTGGTCTGTGGAGGCTGCCCATACCGAAAGCGGCTGGCTGGCCGATAAGATGGACTACTCCCACGTGATCAATGTGGCATACCTGCAGGATATCCATAACATGCTCACGGGCCTCACGGGTCCTCAGGGAGAAGGGCAACTCATCGAACGGGCTGCTATTGCCACCAGCAAAATGTTCGAGGAGATGCAAGGCTATGCCGAGGCCGCCAAAAAAAGTCAGTCCTGCTGTGCTGCAACTCAGCCCGAAAGTTCTAGTGAGCTTGTCCAAGAATTGAGAAATTTATTTATTTTTATCTTTTTACCCTTCAAGCACGGATTTGGGGATGAGCGTTTCGATTTCTCAACACGCCCATACTTGGGTTTGTTGATTTGTTCCGCGCAGGGTATGGATCAACAACTATTGGCCACCCAAAATGGATTGCTTAAATACTGAAAGAATTTGAACTTGAAATATTTTTTCGGCTTTGATGCCACTTTTGACACATGTTATCACATGTTCATTGCCCAGATTTCGGCTTTGGGTTTCAATTTTCACGAGCCCAACATTTGGATCATTTGGCTGGTAAACCCCATGGTTTCCATTAGCTTTTGCCGACGGACCATGGAGGCGGCTTCCTTCAATGATCTCTCGCGCGTAACAGCTCGAGATGCCCTGGAGACGTTTCTGGCAACCCCTGACCTGGCAGGTGGGTGAAACCTGTGAATTTTCATGAAAAACGCTAAGACCACACAGGACCACATAGGACCAGTAGGTTCATGAATGTGATTCTCGCATAATAATACATAATAATACATAATAATAATACATAATAATAATAATAATGATAATAATAATAATAATAACAATAATAATAATAACAAATAATAATAATAATAATAACAAATAATAATAATAATAATATAGGCCAACAAAAATCATATTAATGGGAAGTGAGCTGCAAACTTGTGGATTTTAGCTGCGAAAACGGACGTGCAGTCTGCAACAACGGCAATGCTCCAATGCAGTGATGACGATTGTTTCTAGAGGTGTGGTACCCACATTAAGCACCATGAAGCGATTTAAGGATGCAAAATTCCATAAGCAATGAATTGAACATCCCAAGTTGAACCCAGCCTTTTTTTTTTTAAAGAACCATCCTATATCATGCCTATATTCATCTATATTGGATCTATATCCAACATACCAAATTTTCTCGCCCTTTTTCTCGGCAGGTGCCCCTTCCAACGCCACTGCTCTGGCGCTGCTGGGGCACCTGGAGCGTCTGCATGGCACGCTGCGCCTCGCTGCGCGGAAGCAGAAGGAGCAGCTCGTCGAGCGCCAGCTGCAGCAGAGCGTGCGACAGCTGCAGCGGCAAGCGCAGCTGCAGCTGCGGAGTCTGGGAGTTTACCGCCTGGAGACTTGGATGATATCTGGTGATGATGGTGGTGGGGGAAAACGAGCTTGGGGTCAGCTTTCTAGGTGTATTTCTATGGTATGCCCAAAAAAGCATAGCTGTAGTGGCGAGATATCTTTTTTGGTCATTTTAGTCCGTGGCAAATAACTGCTCTATGCACAGGGTGCTTTGCAGATCAGTTTCGTGATAATGCCATCCTCAGCGCTGAGGGTTTATGCCGTGCCAGGAGAGTGATGCTTCGAGCCACAGGACCCGCAAGGAACGACATCACTTCATGTCCACGGCAGCCTCGCTGGAACGACGGCAGGTGATGATGTCCATGGATCACATTTGGTGGCAGCTGCGCTGCTCGGATGATGTGTGCAACAGTTGTGCAACAGGTTAGGCCCATTAGGCACCCCAAAGTTGACTGTTTCGAGGTGCCATGTATGTACCCACTGACTTCCGAGGCAAGAAACTGGATGAGTACCTCAGCGTGGCTGAAGAGGAGGTGAGGAGCTTCCAAGTCTCCCTGGAGGAGCAGAGCAAACGACAGACCGTCATTCTTACGGTAGTCTTAATTGTAACCCGAGCATTTGTGCCTGTGAAAGCTGGGGAACCTCAATGATGGTTCAAAGACAACTTAACGAGGTGGAACAAGTCACTACCAACCAGATCTCCAGAATTCCTTTGTCCTGGTCCGTGGGAAGATTTTCTTGGATCTCATTCCCCATTCTTCTTGATGTTCATCTCCATTTTGAGATTGAGAATATCGGCCCGATCAGCATCTCCCAGCATCCCATCCAACAAGTTGAAATCAAAATCAGATATCAGTTTCTCCCAGGAGATGGGCAGTTACATGCATTGCAAGAAAGGCTTCTCCAGCCTCGTGGCCAGCTACACCAGCAGCATGGCCAGCTTGAAGCGCAGCCATCGGCAGCTCCGCCATGCCTGGCGCGTCGGCTCGGAGCTGCTGGGGGAGATGGCCTCGGTCATCGTGGATGCCGAGGCCTTTCAGAGTTTCGTGGCGGAGCAGGGCTGCGAATCCAGCTTGGTGAAGCAAACTCTCAAACAGTTGCTGGGCATTGCTGATTGCTGGGCTGTAATGATGTATATTTGGGCATTACTTGGGTCATTTTTTGATGACTTTCCTATATTTTGCGGCTTGCTCCTGAGGGGCTGAGTTTCGTTTAGTCGTTTGAGACAAAATCCTGACCCAAACGAACTCGAAGCCAACTGGGTTCAAAGTGGCTAAACGCTTACTCTAAATCCCCCAGTTCAACGAATTTCAACGAGACCCCAGGTTGGAGTCTGCCATCTTCGGCATGGCCTTCCTGTTGCATCGCTTCCGCGCAGCGAAGCTGCCGGAGCCCGATCGCTACCCTCTGAAGGAGGCCACGAAGCGGATCCAGGAGGCCTATGCAGCTGCCACCAGCAACTGCACCAGCTGAGAAAATGGCGGTAAATGGCTGGAGTTTAGGACAAGTATTAGGACGCTAAGAACAGAAAAGGTCTAGTGAGGTGCCTGTTGAATTCGGTATTTTGACATAGCGCCTAGCAAGGCAACTGTCCGAAGGCGAAAGGAAAGAGAAGGAAAAAGGTAAAGCTTGCGCCGAGCTGGGAGGAGATGGGAGGAGCATGGTTTTCCGGCGTCACCAGGAGTGATGGTCTCCATGAGACTGAGAACTTTTAACATTGGCTTACATGAGGTCTAGATAAGTTTAGCGTATAGTTTCGCAACATTGCAGGTGCCATAATTGTCTCATGTTTCCATGCCGAGGCGGCTTCCTTTGCATGCTGGAGCCTGGCGATGGGAAAATGATGAGTCGGATTCACAAGAGCATATCGTGGACAATGAGGCTTAGGCATATTTTGGAATATGAAGTTTGATTGAGCACCAAAAATGTCATCTTTAAAGCCGGTGGATATATCCTGTGACGATTCATCCTGGGTTCCAACACCCCCGTGCAGTATACAGTATGTCACATTTCTATGTCTATCCGTGTCGCAGCGTCACGCCCAAAGCATTGGTTCTGTCGTTGCAAACGCCATAGGCAGCACAGCAATCAGTCGAGCACCAGCCCATGGGCCCAGTACAGCCACAGTGGCCACAGCTTCAGATGCTTCGGATGACCGCAGGAAACCGCAGGCCCGTAGCGACATATGTGACATATCAGCCCATTTGGATATTGACAGGAATCAACACCCCCATGCTGCGCCATGGTGCTTTGCTTGTGCTGCTGCTTACCCGGTGAGGCGTGCTAAGAAGTTGATAGCCACGGTCCAACCGGTCACACGGTCGTTTTGATACGGGGGCATGGATTTGCACCTGCAAAGCTTAAGTTCAGCTTGGGGATCCTTTTTGTGGAGAGTTGTTAAATTTGTGTGCACACTTCATGGTCAACAGCGCCCCCATTCTGATCGCACATACACCCAGTATCTCCTGTACTTGTTTCTTGCTGGTTCTTGGCTGGATATACATAGTGGTCAGGAGATGGAGAAGGGTCAGAAGGGATTGAAAGGGAGCAACATCACCTCTAAATCCTAGTCTATTTCCCCTTCAAATCTGGCTGCTTCCGCCCAGGAAGGCGGCGAGCGTTGGGGTGCCAGGAGTGAACGCTGGTGGCTGGTATTGGATCTTGTTCTTTGGGGACCCACATGGGCGAATTTGATACTAGGAGGGTGTGATTACAAGATAGTACAAGCAGGGAGTCTCCTGTCAAGTTTCGCTTACACTTCAAGTTGCCCATTTATTTAGAGTTATGGTTGCTAGTTTATTTCTGTCAAGTTGTGCCATGCGTCATCATTTGTCATAGATTGCATACATAAGCCCACAAAGGTTCCCAATCTTGTTCCAGTGAATTAAATCAAGCCATGACAGGCCCATGGGCCCCCGCCTAGGCCCAGCCCTCATCGAGACACAAAGTGCGGTAGAAGATGAATTGCCGACACAAGTGCAGGTCCAAAGCTCTCAGGAGGGTTGGAAAACCCGGAGTTTCAGATGAAGCCTAAAGCCCTAAAGTTTGATGTTTCCATTGGTAAAGCAAACAATAAACCTACCACTTGGGATGGTTTATACTAGTTTTACCACCCATTTAAATTACGGTGATATTGGGGATAGTTTGGACTCGGGTTTCCAACGTTAGTCGGAGCCAATTTTGACTTTTGGGGTTCCAGCAGTCAAAATTCAATGGTGAGCCATTTTGGACCCTCAATTGGTCGGGTCGTTGGATGAGAATGTAGCAAATCAAACCGCCCCTGTGCCAAATAAAGGCAACAAATAGATATTTCAAATGTCCGCAGCAAAATCCATGGAAACCCTGGCATAATGCGAGCCACCGTCTTGTCAGCCGTTTTCTGATCCAGGATTGTGTGGATTGGTGGAACAGTTTGAGGGGAACGTGCTGGCCGTTGGCATCCGTTGCGGCTCAGGGTGCGTGGCGAATGAGAAATAGTTTTCAAGACAGCAGGAAGCTAATGGAAGCTAAGCAGCTAGGATCTAGACAACACCTTGAGAAACACAGAGAGGGAATGGATCCCAGGCAGCTTTTGGCACAGCTCCCAGCTGGGTTGTCATGATTTTTGTTGACCCTTCTGCATCTGCCTCCGTTGGTGGCGCCAGTTGGTGGCGCCGCAACTCGCCGCGATGCCCGAAGTTTCACCGTCGGGAGCTTCGGAGCCCTTCATCGAACGCGAGGATGTGAGTCACTCAGCGTTCCACTGGCGCAAGGCGGCGGTCGAAATTGGCTCCGTTTGCAGCGGACACTAAGGGGGGGCAGCCACACTGCAGATACACATGCTAAAGTCAGTGATATTTCTCTGAAACAGCGTGTGAGGAAAGGTTCAAGGTTATGAACCCCCAAAATAGTGGGATGGTTCAATGCCATAACATGTCGCATACTATACCGATATGGGTACCACAGGTAACCCCCAAAAAAGACCAATCTTCTTATTCTTCTTGTTGGATTATCATATAGTAATATAGTCATATAGTCGTCTAGTATATCCCCAACTATGTAGCTATGTGACTATGTGACTATGTGGTAATCCAATCCTGGAGAGTTGCTTTCCTGCCAGGCGCGAGGCATTATGGCCATGGTGAAGGTGCGAAGGTACGCGCTGCGGTGGAACCAAGATACCAAGCTGATGCGTTTCGCGACTGAGATCGGATGGGATGATGGGACCATGGTGAGCCGAGACGGTTCGAAAAACTGGTGACCCCGCGAAACCACTCAAATTTTGGTTACTTCTGGGAAGGAATCTCAGAATTTAGGGGAAGTCATTGGGAAGAATCGCTAATTCGGAGCGATTGATTGATTGAGTGAGTACACACACACATATATATATAGTATAGTACAGGGAAACAAAAACACACCCCACACCAAAGTGTTGGGATTGCTGAGCCTGGATGGATGACATGCCATGGCAGAGGTATGTTTCTAGCTCATCTCTGACAACTGAGGAAGCTTGAAAGATGATGCTGAGAAACAGCAACTTGGCGATCATTCACCTGTACTCCACTGAATCTCTGGGGATAGTGGTTTCCAACTCTCAGGAAAGCCCATCAGCTGTTGGCTTTTTGTGGTTCCCAGCCGGTGCCCAGCTCCCACACCAAGCGACACCAAGGAGGTTCATCGCCCAGATCATCGTGGTGATCACGGTGCTGGGAGTGCTGATGTCGGAATCCAAGAGTCCATTGGCCGCAAGCCTTGACTGTCCCTGTCTCGTGAGCTTGGGGGCTGACCTGGCGATAGTTCAGGGAACCATGTAATCATATATAGATGGGTGATTTTGAAACACTCCGCCCCCAAAATGGAGAAGTATATAATTATATTGGAACTTGAAGACTTATATAATAAGTGGGCATCTGCCAATTGATCTACATGAATTCTTGAACACTGCATGATGGCGGAGAATGTTGCCTGCACCTGCTGGGGTGTACCTGCACGAGAATGTGAGACAGTGCTGATACTTTCTGCACGCATTCAACTAGACGCACCTTTTCTGGGAACAAGTTCAGATTTCGGTGGGGCTTAAGGTCATTACACTCCAAACTGGATGCCTACCCTCCAGTAATCAAGCATGGCAATGGAAAACGCTTTGTAGTTTATGTTCCCACTTGAAGTAAAGAAATTGTTTGATTGCCAGGGTTAGTTTTGTAGGAATGGCAGTGTGAGCCGAGCCGAGGCTGTCTCTTCCACATGGAGGCAATGGGGCGCTGGGACCATGGCCATCCCTACAAGTTCTCCTATGCCTTGACGCTGACCATGACCGTCTTCTTGCTGATGCTTGGACCGATTGGATCTTGGTCGCTTTCCCTGGAAGTTTCAAGGAAACATCAGCAATCCCTGCAGGGGTCTTTTTCATTCACCAAGTGCAACATATGCAGTTTTCGCCATTTTTGGCTTTGACTTTGTCCCATGGAAATGCTTCATTGTGTGAACACCGCCTCTCTAGGAAACCTGTACCTTTTATGTGCTGAGGAAAATGATGCTTGCCCCAGTGCACAACGCACTGAAAAAGAAGAGGGAGGACAAGGAGGTGCCAGCAGTCAACTGGCAGTCGCCTTTACAGTAGCACCGGCCAATGAAACGACAAGTGAAAGGATGCGGTCATGTGGTCCCAGTTCTAACTGGTTATTTTCTCAGCACTAGTTGAAGGAAAACCTTACAGCAAACTAAGCAAACCAATAGCATTGGTGTATCAATCTTGGCGAAACATGAGGCAACCACCACAAAGGACCAAGTTCTTGGGTTCGCTTCAAGATTGGCAGGTTGGTGAGGATGAGGCGGAGGTCCCCACGACCATGTACAGCAAGGTGATGCCATGGATCTTGTGGCTGGACATCAAGGGGTTGGTCATGGGGCCAGGGCCCAGGGTTGATCTCACCCTGTTCTTGGCATTTGAGTCTCCATGATTTTTTGGGGGTGGTAGAAGTTGTTTTTTTTCATCTTTCTGGTGGCATTTTTTGGGGTCACATACCGGCTTGCGGTCTGCAGATGCAGGAGCTAATCATCCTGTAATATTGCTATATCTACTGTATATAATACTAGTTATTTGGTGGTGGGTCCATCTTGTTGGGCCCAGGATGATTACCTTCACCATCTTCGAGATGATGATGACGACGCTGAGCTGCTTGGGTCTGCTGTATGGGGCGCCCACCACCATTTTCGTGGTCTTCAAGAGTTCCAAAGCTGTGCCTGGGTTGTGAAGCACCTATTAGATGGTAAGCCTGACAGATGCATACTGAGGGTAGTCTGAATTCTGAATCGTCCATGATCAAGTAGCCCTCGAGTTGAAGAGCATGCACGCACACAAACACAGAGGAAATCCGTTCAAAAAGGCGGTATGCCAGGAATTTAGCACCAAGAGTCCAAGAATGAAGACCTCGCAATTGCCGGCATGTTGCAACAAGCTTCTTTACTTCGAAACTGTAGTCCAGAAAATAGCCACGGTTGCAAATAAATATGCCAGTTTGGCGGCTTATTCGTTTTGCGATGATGTTTTTCCGCACCCAGAATGATCTCACGCATACTCAGGGTCCATGAATTCTCAACCCTCCAAGAAATGACCTGCCATTTTGGGATGGTACTCCAATAGCCGAAGTGCCAGCTTCCAAAGAATCTCCTTCTTGGCTCCAAAGATATGTCTATAGCTTAGTTTTTTTTCTTTAGATGAAATGATGGGACTTAGAACTTCTCCAAGATTTTTCCCAGGACTGGTGGTGAAAACCGCTTTTTTGGACCCTTGTTTCTGCTCCGTTTTTTTTTGACCCGTGGTGAGGTCTTCATGGCCCTGATGTCGGTGGTGCTGCTGGGCCGTCGCCTGAACCTGGCCCAGTGGTGCTCGCTGTTGGTGATCTCTGGGGCCTTGCTGCTGTCCACCGTTGCGGAGGGCAAGGGCGGAAAGAAAGGCTACGCCCCGGGGAGGGCCGACATGGGTTTGAACATGTTGGAACTCCAAATGAATCCAACATGTTAGGTATTGGCTAAGTATATCCGCGATTTTTTTTTATGGTAGATCCGATTTGGATTTGTGGGACTAACCCTGAGAGGCTTGTATATCAAAACCACACTCTTTAGGCTTATTATTTGGGAGTTGAGTGGGGCTACTTTTGAATTGGAGATAGATCGGGGCACCTACACATGTGACACATGGGGGTTAACTAAAGGCTAGTTGCTCCAAATGAAACAGCCCTCGCAATCCGCCATGCCAGTGCCAGGGAAGTCATCAAGTCAAACCCATCTTTCCATGAGGTAGTTTGAAGATATTTGATATTTGAAGATATTGCGTAGAGTGCCACAACCTTTTCAAAATCTATATGCTCTGGGACAGCAGGGCATTTTCCACACCTTCCCCTTGCACGATGTTTCAGGCAAGGGGGAGCACGAGTTGAACCTGACGGGTCCTTTGTTGCTGCTGCTGTCTGAGCTGTGCCATGCCATTATGCTCACCTTTCAGGACCCAGATATGATTTTCAGGATCAGTAGCTCACTATTCACACCCTTCAATGTGGTAGATTTGGGGATTATACCATATTAATCCCAACCAGATTTTTTTCCATGGCATCTCAGAATCCTCAACATCCACGGCACCAGGATTTTGATTCGCCACTGGGCCCGCAGGAGATCGCGGTGCGGAACTACTGGCCCAATCCCATTGCACTGCTCAGCTGGTCCGCCTCTCTGGGGGTCTTCTTGACCGCCTGTTCCATGTGACTGGGCTTGGCTATTGGACATCTAGGGACCACAGGGTAACTGCCAGGCATCCGACTCGACAAGGGAAGATCCATTATTTTTATCCATGTATATTTGAACTGATTTTCAAGAAAGAATGTTTCCATTGCTATGTTTCACTACCAGAGGGCATGGCCCACCGTGCTAAGCCCAACTGGCACAACCACCGAAACTTAACAAAAATAAATGGTCAGGCAAGTGCCCTTCAAAATAGGAGGGTTGACCTTGTGGCTGGACAAATCCGCTGGCAATTGGCTGAACATGTTAGGCAACCCATAGACTCCATAGACTTTGATTGATTTGAGTATCAATCATCAGTTTTCAGAGCGGCCAATCGGCCAATCTTGACCCATGCAATCCGGCCTCTGGCATCCGCCAGGTACAAGTCGCGTCAGATCTTCGTGGACCTCCCGGACGGGGGCCGACGTCCCTTCTGCGATCCCAAAGATGTGATGTACATGATGTGGACCAGCCCTGCCCTGGCGCTGTGCCTGCTGATGCTCAACTGAACCAGCTCCCGGGGATGTGGTTTTAGGATGTTTTAGGCTCAACTCGAAAGTGAGACAAATAGTGGAGTGATATGTTGCAACTCTCTCTCTCTATAATTTTATATCTACGATATATAATTGTATATAATTGTCATTTTATCTCTAAGGAGATGCCATGTCTTCCGTGTGGTCTGGATGGTCACAGTTTCTGGTCGCATCCAGGATCAACATCTCTTCGCATCTATCCTCCGACCTTTCCCATATCATGATCCTGAAGCACATCTCAGCCCTGGCGCGAACGCTCTGCGACACTCTCAAGATGATCGCAGCTGGGCAGGGAATTGACAGAGATCGCGGCTGGAAGGGGTTGTGAGCTAGATTGGGATGATCACTGAAATGAGTTATGCAGTACGACTCTATACAGTCTATACCCGCAATCTGCTTTCATGTCGATCTTGTTCAAGTTCCAAAGCTCCTCAGTTCGCATTCCCAGCACCAGGTCATGTGGCTCTTGGGGAAGATCTTCTGGGCCCTGGCCATTTTGCCACCCCTGGCGGAAGCCTGGCATCCTGGGCTGTTGGGCTCCTGGTTGATGATCCCAGCCATCTTCGCCGTGATCTACGGACGTCCAGGGGGGTCGATGGGGGTCCATGGGGGTCCTGTTTTGGGTGCCGAACAGTAAAGGTGAATGGCAAAATGGCAAGTGCTGTGACATGATTCAAGTTTTTTTTCTGGAAGATTTTGATGATACACCTTGACCTTGAGATATTGAGGCGGCTTATAGTGTTTGAGAGGGGGAAGCCCTGGTCAGAGAACTCAAATTAGCAAATAAACAAAATTATCGCGGTGCACGGCATTTAGGGGCCTTGGCACACGGGTTCACAACTCTGCGAGCACTGTTTTGCCTTCTTGCTTGGTTCGTGCTTTCGTTTTTTGAGGCCATGTATACTGTAGGTACAGCCCGAGCAGATTTCTCCCCTGTCCAGGGTTCGTTCCAAAATTTGGGACATGCATAGCTGCAGACCAAAGTGATAAGACGACACTGGTGAGATTGGTGAGCAGGAATGTTGATGTTCAAGAACGGTGTCTTCCTGCCCTTGGTCTATGCAAAGGATGACCATGGTGTGTGGCGGATCCAGGAGCGTAGGGACGAATCTGATGATGAGGAAGAGCTGGAAGCTGCTTGGCTTATATGGCGCAGGTGGGAATCATCACGCACACGTGCGCGCGCACACACACACGACGATTGCCGACCAATAATCATTGAATCATGTTGCTCTTGTTGATGCGAAGGGTCTTAGGAAAGAGCTGTTTACCGATGGTTTGCTAGAATCACGTCCATTTGCCTCAGATCTTAGCACGATGCCCCACTATGTCCATGATTCTCACAGCAACAAAAGACCCTTAGTTGCAGGGTCTCGCCATCTGCACGTTAGGAGATTTTGGCTTCCGGAGACGATCCGTTCTACATGGCGGCCTTCCGCTCCAAGAAGCTGAAACGCCGCAACCGGCGGATCATGCACATGCTCAGGGCCCACAAGCTCATTGGCAAGGGGGATACTCCCAAGAACTAAATTTTGGAGTTGAGGTCGGAGAAGCTGGCTAGATCAGATGTTTCAGATGTTGGTTTCGTTTGATGGTTTTTGGAAGTTTGAGGGGGTTGTCCCGATTCTGAGAGAGCTTTCTATGAATTTTGGGGGCAGTTTCAAAAACCTCACCGCGTGAGGTTTCCCCAAGGCCAACGTGCCATCGATTGTTTCAGCCATGGTACGCCATGGTGCCAAGTGTGACTGACACGTCAACGGATGTGGCTGCTACCGTGGCCAAGCCTGTGACGGCCTTTGCAACTGCTAGTGGCAGGCTGGAGAATGAAAGAGACTTGAACATCAGTCTTAATCTAAATGTTTTTTACATGTCAACATTTTAAAGTACCCCAGTCTGACCCAGAATCAATTGAATCGAGCACTGGTTCTGAGACATTCTTGATGGGCCAGAGTTACTGGACGCCTCCCCATGCGCTAGCCGTGGGTTGGTTAATCAAGTTGATCAGGCATTCTGGGCAGTTTGAAGGGAACCTTTGATCGAAGCCAAGTCCTTTTCAGTCTTCAACTGCCTCGTAGTGGGCCAGGTGCCCCCCCAACAATGATGGATCGAAACGAAACAGGCGTAGAACGCGCCTTCGCTGGAGAAAAGACAAAGACGGTGGCGGGCACTGAATCGGTGCCTCTTTTTGTTTGGATGCCACGTGGGCAAAGATCGATGTGGAGATCCAGAATCTGAACCCCTAGGACCCTAGGACTCGGACTTTAAGGGGCGAGCACACCAACATTTTTCGATTGAGGAAACATGAGACTTTGCTTACTATGACCACCAGCTCCTAAGCAGGCTGTCGAGCTGGAGCCCACTGGATGCAGAGGCGGAAATTATGAATTTGTCCCAAAATTAGGGATGGGCCTCCCACTTTATGGCATAAAAAACCATGGCAAGATGATGAAAAAGTGACAAAACCATGGGATTTGGGGAAGCTTATTGCTTCCGGAGGTGGCTTTGGTACTTCAGAGTTCCCAAAATACCAAAAAATATCAAAAAATCCCATTCAGTTCGATGATTTTCCCATATTTCCCCATATTGTCTCATTGCGTCCTCCATTTATAGGGATCCCACTTTTTCATGGGGATTTTCACGTAAAACCCGTGGATTTCAACGCGGAACAGATTCGGTGCCTGGGAGCTGCTTCACCGTGGGGGTGGACACGGATCTGCGTGGCGCGCCACCCTTGGGGCTTACCTTTGATGCTCGATGCAACTCCCGGCCATGGAGGTTTCTGGAGGTTTCTGGAGGTTTCTGGTTGGGAAAATCGTCGAACTAACTGATTTTCCATCCACGTGACTGAAGATCCAGAAGGTAAATCCAGTTGATGGGAATCTGGAAGATTTGATTGAAGACTTGATGCTGGTTTTAAGCTTTTGATGTCCGAACGGATGTGGAACCATCCGAACAGAAAACCTGGTTGACCTGCTTACTTAATGTGAGAAGCTGGATTGCCCTTATCTTTTGTTTTGCTGTTCGTTAATTTGAAGTTGAAGGAGAACAAGCTGTTTCGAAACCTGATGGAGCCAAGAAACATCTAGCGAGGAACAAGCATCAGACATTCATCAACGACCTTGTGATATGACTAACCGACTAACCAAATCAGGCATGTAACGAACTGAAACTGGGATAGAGCCAAGATGGGGATGCAACTAAGAAGGGCGCGATTAAATAAAGAGCAGGGGATCACCAACAATGATGGGTCAGACTTGGGTGCTGACTTTCAGCACCAGCCTCCTATCGAATGCTTTTTCAATCGAATTCTTTACCGCCTGGATGGCTCAGTGTCCTGAATCTGCCCGAGCCGTCACCTTTTCCAAATGCAATGCTACTGTCATCGTGGAGATGACGGCAAGTGGACCATGTACATTGTATGAATATGCAGCATGCACATGTAATTAATTGTAATTATACATCAAGGTGTGTGTCTAGATGCGCCCACCGCTCTGCGCGCGTATGTCGCTATCATTAGCTATCTATATATTGACATCAGCCACAGCCCCAGTCGACTCGGCACCCGACCCGAGGATGTCATGGATCCAGCAGTGGCTTGGTGGCAACGGTGGCAACGGGTGGCTGCCGAGCTCAGACTGTTGACCTGGCCAAGGTGTGCGTGGTGGCATCAGTGAGCGCTCCATCCCTGATCCATTCCTGGAACCAGCGATGCCCAGCACCCTAGGGCCCTGGGCGTGGATAGATGCCGATTCAATGATTCTGGGTAAATTATAACGACCTCACTGCGACCTCACTATAATCATAGTTAGTAAGGGGAATCATCCCAAAATGGCCTTAATTCAGGGTAGTGAAATATTATAATTTACCCTAATGATGATGCAATAAGAGTCAGAGATGGATGAACTGAAAAGTTGCTCCAGACGGTGAGGTGTCCAATGGCTTTCAGAGAGTTAGAGACAGAGAGAGATATGGATGGATGGACCTATAGAATATCTGAGACGCATGAGCGCTAGATGGAGATACATTGTTTGTTGCGAAATATAAATGAATCTGGAGAAGAAACATGCATACCGGAAAACACGAGTACCGTACGGATAGGTGTACCACACAGACAAACACACCACAGATCGTTTGGCAATCCAACACGGCAAACAAAGAAATGCCTTATTTCATTTCATGATTTTCCCATATTTTCCCATATTTTCCCATTAACAGCTCCATTTAATAGGAGGCTTCTCAGGCCATCCCTGCTCTGAGGTGCCCCAGAGGAGGTTGTGAAACCCCGAGATCGGTTAGTGAAGGTCCGGTGGATTTCAGTGGTGCTTAGCAGACATTTTTCACCCTTGAAGCCTTGAGAACTGGGGATGGAAAATGGATGAACATGGTGATTTCCGGCTGAAAGATGGATGAATCTTCGAATATTTTTGTAGGTTTCAACATGTTTCAACTCTTGATCGACTTGTATTTGAGTACAAGATTTATAAGCCAGCAGCCTTCCAGGTTTTTCCAGGTCCTTCCAGGTCCTTCCAGGTCCTTCCCAGTTGCCAGGTGAATGGTTTGTCTCGTGCTGATGCTGAAGGCTTAGCCAAGGTCTTGGCTGAGGGCCTCGGGCACAAAAAGAAGGCCCATGCTTTGTCCCTTTGGCACCAGGGAGGAGGGGGGAGGACGTGGAGGGGACGCCCCACAGGGAAAGCAGTGATGGTGATGCTTGGTCAACAAGTATGGCTAATATGGGTAGGTTCTCTCCCAGTTGAACTCAGTTGTACAAGGAGTTGACTCCGGGAAGCAGTGACTTGCTACACTGAAGTTGTTCAACCACTCTATTCATCGGGATGTGGGGAGACCTTGGGGCGTTATCCTTTTGGGGTCGCGTCGATGCCGGGTTTTGTATTATTCTGGATGGCTGTAAGTTTTAGTCATACCGGGGCCGACGCGTGAACGTGGTTCGCTTCGGTAGGCCAGCAATACGTTTAGACAGCCCCCAAGTTTCAAGATACTGGTATGCTAAGAACGGTCAGAGGAGCGAACACTTTGACACCCCAAATCCCCAACTTTTTGCATCCCGGCGATTTGGCTTGAGGTTAGAATTTCAGCATCCGCTGGTGCCAAACTCAGAAACAGTACTGCAGTCGAGGGGATCAGCAGCTGAACATGTGTGAGGACTCAGTGGTTGTTGTTGTTTCTTTGACGAAACATGGTCTCCCAAAAATGAAATGGGTGATACCCCCCATTTTACAGCAATTTTAATAGAGGAAAATGGTGATACCCCCCCTATGGGTCATGTAAATACGGGAAAATGATGACTAACTGACATAACCATCAAATAAGTCAAATAAGTGGGATCCCACAGGGCTGTGTTCCCCCAGCCATGCATCTTCCATTGGTGAGGTCGTCGACGTGAAGTTGAGGAAGGATGGAGCGCTGCCGCTAGGTCTCAGCCTTCACTACGCGTTGTCGGAGAATAAGATAGGCGGGGCCGGATGAATGGGAAGGGTGGTTGTGGTGGTTCTGCTGGTGGGCACGATATTGTAAACAATGAAGTTGCTAACCAACTACAAGACTAAATGAAGCAAACAACTAGATAGTTGAATAAATACCCTATATAATCCTATAATATCCTATATATCACACATATTTGCGCCCTCTGCATGTTTCATTGCGTAGTCTTTCCTTATGCGCCTGCGCCACAGGAGGGCTTTGTGTCAAGAGCATCGGCGACGGATTGGTCAAGGCCTGACCACCCTGGGTAAGGATAGGAAGCTGTTGGCATGATAGTAAAACTATCCCCAATAGATAGGGATGATTACTATATGGGTATGAAACAAGAATATCAAACATGGTATACCGACATTTATCAAAAAAATGGATGAGTTACCAATAATATATGGGAATCATGAGGCTATTATGGCAAATGAGAGAGAGACTAAGTGCCAATTGGCCAATTGCGGTGTACTATTGGATATGCTGCCCCGGACGATGGTATAACCAATCCATGTTTGGTGGAATTGGGATGAATTGGGGGTTCATTATCACTAGATTTTTTTTCTCACATTGCAATCACAATCCCCCTGCCATGGGATATTTTGGGAGTTTTGGGTTGTAAACATTAAGCCCCGTTGTAATTCATATCAAACTCTGCTAAAAGTCTCCTCCCTATTTCTTAGACTCTTTTTCATCACGGGTGCCGTGATGGCCCATGGGGTCTGTTTCCAGGTGGACCCAGCAGATTTCTTTCCTGACTGGGTCATGGGTCAAGATTGATCATCGGATATCATCGGATGATACGCCAGGATTGGATGGTTTGGAGTTAAACATGTGATGATTTTCACCACACAGCACCAATCCATTGTGCTGCTGAATTTCACCACTCTTGCTGGTTAAACCATGCTAAAACACCATGTTTGTTGGTGAAACATGGTGAAACCACCATTTTTGTTGGCCATTCAAGCTCCAAGTCTGGCTGGGTTTTGACCCCTTTGTTGGAAGCCAGCCGTGGAGGCCAAAGGTCCGCAGATCAAGGAGGGGCACCGGGTTGTGGCGATTGATGCGTCTGAGATGTTCGGAAGTCTCAGTTGAACCAGTTGGGCACGGATCAGTGGCGCCTTTTGGAAGATGATGTTCCGATGTTCCTGTGGTGAAACATGTATGTGGATACGTGGATGCTGGGATTTCCACTTATGATTATATATATATGTATATTCTATGTATATATAGAATATATATATAAATATAATATAGCTTCATTTTTCTCAGATTTCTAAAGATAAGCGAGCAAGTGAGGTGACTTCACAAAACGATTGTTAGGTGATGGATGGTGATGGGGAGACACGCAATCTTGCTTCAGTCCCAGTCTTCAATCCATTTCAATCCCAGAATTGGTTTAGGGGACTTGCTCTTGGCACAACAATACAGTCCCCGAGACAAGAACAAATCCAGTAAGGTAATGATTACTTGTTGGCTCAGGGAAAGATTGGCTCTAGATCTAGATACCGTCGCAACGCCTCTGTGGTAACTGCGCCAGCACTGCCATGGGCCCTTTATATATCTTCATCACATTGCTGATTCCAGTGTTTGGATGCGACAAGTGTGAAACATCGAGCCTGCTCCAACACGACAAACCTTCTCTGAGCTTCAGAAGTTTAGCAGCGACCTCCAGGACAAGCCGCAGCCCGAGGCGCTCTTCAAACACCCCTGCAGTTCTTATTTTCCAAGTTGGATGCGAAGGTCATGGACGAGGACTCGGACTCTTATAAAAAATGAGTCCATGCAGTGCAATCATTCGTCCAAGCATTCGGGGAGATTCCTCCGACTTTGAAGGGCACGGCTTTGATTCACACCGGTATCCTTGTATCTGATACTCTGGATTCTTGGGCCGAGACAGCCAGGAAACTGCGGCTCATGCCCTTGTCCTTTCTGGCTTCTCAAGACCTTGGGAACACGAAATTGTATTATTGGACAAATGTGGATCGCGAACATCCATTGATCCAGGAGATTTTTGGACCATTTTTGGAGCAATACGGCAAACACATCGAAATCAAAAAATTCGATGCGGCTGAGGAGATCAAGAAGGTAGTTCTTGACTATGCATCTCATGAGAACACTGCTGCAATGACAGCAGTGACCGCGGAACTTGTCAACATTTTCGATTCTCAAACTATTGCGAGTTCCAAGACGAACCTGATGCGGACCTTTCTTTTGTACAACTACGGCGCCTGGATGGACAACGACATGGTGCTGGTTCAAAGCGTGGCTCCACTCCTGGGGGATTGGGCGGAATGGATTGGCAAAGGCTTCATCAATGAAGCAGTGTTCTCAGCTTCAAGGCCTGGGTCGCCATTTAATCTGAAGGCCTACATCGGCAATATTCGAAAACTCGGAGTGCACTTGGAATTCTTTGCCTACGGACCGACCATGCTATCAAACATGGTCAAGGAGATTCAGAACGGCAGGGCGTCATTGAGTTACAATGTTTCACCTGGTGCCGAGTTGTTTTTCCGAGGGCGCTTCACATGTTCATTATTTCCATGGACCTGATGAAGAAATTCCAAATCCCAGGCATCCCAGGTCCGGATTTTTCAGTCCAAATCCTCCAGATTCTTTGGATTTCATTGGCACAACCAGTGGGACAAGCAGATTGCAGACACTTCGGTAGCTCATGCTGCAGAGAAACTATATGGCAAACTGCTGAACATCAAGTTGCCTTGAACCCAAAACACTGAGAAGGTTGGCTCTGCGCCCATCGCTTTCGATGTGTTCCTTCCAGTATTGCGTTTGCCTGTGGCTCACAGATCTGTCATTTTGACGCCACCCCAGACTTTTGTGAAAAAAGGTGAGCCCAAGCGTTCAGGAGAGCCCACTTTGGTTCATACTAATAGCTTTACAACGCATCCCCAAAGCGGGCACGGCACGAGAAGAAGCAGGCGCAGAACCAGAAAAGGTCCGGCGGAAAAAACAAATATTGAGTAAGATCTGACGGTTAATCGTAGGTCAATTTATGGGCTTACCATGAACCTTGACCGCCTTGACCCTACCACTAGCCATCATTAAGCCACCATTAATGTTCATTAACCTAGCATCAATGATCATCTACCATTGATCGCCTGAGGGGCGTGGACAAGATGTTGGAGACGCTGCGCGTCAGCAAGGTACGGAACCAGGGGCTATACCACGGATGGGGCCCCAGTTCGGAATCGCTAAGTTGGTGCAAATAACTGTACTAACAATAGTGTATGATACGCAAATCATTATATTTAGATGGGGTTGTAAACCAACTTATAACTGGGGGGCACCATCCTGTAGGCATGTATGTGAATGAGATATCATATACTGTTGTTGCTTGGTAAGCAAGTCAAGAAGGATGTAATGGAACAATCCGATTTACACGTCCTAATTCAACCGTGTTTTGTTCTTGGCGCAAAGTGCAGGAGGTGACCCTCACAATCATCTCATGGCCGGAGCAGGGAGGACCGGTTTGGGATTGGAAAGAGCGCTGGCGACCAATCCTTTTCCCAGTTGGTTGGTTGATTACTCGAGGGGTCATCCCCCACGAAACAACAAACAGGTAAATGATAACAAATGGATACAAATGGTAAATCACACCGGCCCTCTATTGTCCCAGAAGGACAATCCAAGAGTAGAGGAACCCTGAAAATCATGTGGACTCCAAGGGTCAACATTTGGGACATCCAAACATTTTGGGATCCCCCTCAACAAACAGCATGCGGCTATCCTGCCAATTTGCAGCCAGAAACGGATGTTCGCCATAAACATCCATAAACCCATAAGCCTCTGGTTTGGACTGGTTCATATTACTCGCTTCTATCATTTCTGCTAAGTCACTGAGGATAATTTGGGCGCTGCAAAGGGGTCCTCCTTAGCCACAGGAGAACCAGCGGCACCAGCTCCTTGCGTTTCACCCTGATAGTTCAAAATGAAGGAGCTGGCAGTGGTGGCAACATGTGGCAAATCTCCAAGTCAAAAAAAGGTTGGATGGCTATAAACATCCATAGAGTTTGCGGGTGCCACCTTGTTCCGAAAGTGCGAAGTTAATACACCTCCAAAACTGAAAATTTCATGAGGAATAGCATAGCATATTCCACGCCGCATCCAGCCCGCGCAGAACTTGGCTGTGCCAAAGTACACAGCGCTTTTCTCAACGTCTCCGAAAACCCCTGGTCTCCGAGAGACGGGGTTACGATGGGCTTTTCGACCATGGGAACCAGACCCAAAGAAAGATGGGCTTGTTCAGAAATGGGAGATTCACAGCCAAATTTGGTGATTTTAGTGGGAAAATGGGCCCCCTATTTTTGAACAAACCCAGATGGCAAGTGGCGCGGAAAATTTCGATGGCTGCCTTCAGGTCTGACTCTGAGGGTCAACTATGGCTTGGTGAGGGCGACTTTTGCGGGGGAAGGGGCTGTTTCAAGTCATGCGGATCATACTGCATCACCATCATCCAAAGTTGGTCATTTTTTGGGGGAAACCAAGGGTCATAAAGAGCAGTCAGAATTTTAGAGAGTGTACCTAAATGATCTAAATGGTGCAGAATGATGTTTGAGTGTCTGAAGGCGATGGAGACGATGTTTGAGTTTGCAATGTTCATGTTTGAATCAAAAGGCGCCGTATGTGGATTGACTCAAGACAGTTGACGCGGCCCATGGATGCGCATGGCCCAATCTGTGGTGATTTTTGGAAGAGATCAGTCCCTAGCTGTGCACGTGACATCACGTGACCACTTTTGAAACTGCATTTGCTTATGCCTTGACACTTCCAGATTCCAACAGGTTGGATCTACTGTGCAACTTCCCACGTGTCCTGTGAACAGCTCTTGGCTCGTGTCACAACCGTGGTTCCGGGGGTGCACTTTGGGCCATGGCGATGGTCAGTGGGGACACCCAGCACACCCTTGCAGCACTGGGAATCTGCAGCTATTCAAGGACTGGGCAACGGAGCCAGCATTGCTGACCAAACGCCTGGGTGAAAGATCGAAAGATATCGAAAGGATTGAATGTCAAAGCAATCCTGAGTCATTTTCGCCTGGCGCATGACAACACACATGCCTCGACAGCATCCCCGAAAAATGGTGAAAACAAATAACCCCCGATGCATCCCTCAGTCAATGCCATTCAAAAACGGAAACCACCACTGTGTTCGGAGCCCTTGCATTTGCCACCTGGTTTGGTTGAGCTATGGCGGCCTGTGTGCGAGTGCCCATGTGTATGAGCGATAGCAGTGCGCAGCACATGATTGAAGTGTCTCAGCCTGTGACCTTGGAAAAGATCAAAGATGCTGCTGGAAAGAAACTGGGGCATCGTTTTTGGCATATTTTGTTTGGGATGGTCATGATGTCATGTCAGGTTGAACAAGCGCGGGCTGATAGTACAATTTGAAGGGAGGTAAGCGTCTCAAAGAGTGATGAATTGCTTCTTGATTGGAACCCAAATGAAACAAGGTAGAACGTACGGTGTAACGTGATCCCGCGGCTCGTTAATGCTTGGTTATCGGATTAACAAGATCTATGCCTATCTCCTGTCTTGACCATCAAATGGTGCAGAATCAGATCCCCACGTTTCAGAAGCACCCACTTTCAACCTTCATCCCCCCTTCTGACAAGAAATTGCAGTAGAACTTCCAGAAACAACTGTGATTGCACCGCAATTACAGATGAAACAGGCTGTGCCATTGTGTTTCTTCTTCCCTGATGTGACTTTCCACTACCTGATGTGACTTTTCCGTATCGCCGCTGTGCCAGGGGGATGATGTGACTTTTCTCCGCCTGATGTGACTTAAGTACGGTGTCAGTACGGACTAACATGATCACATGATCCTACCTGCTGTTTTGAGCATCAAATGGTGCAGAATCGGGATCCAAGTTTCAGAAGCACCCATTTCCCCCTTTCGACAGGCAAGTGGCAGTAGAACTTCTAGACGCAAGTGTGGTGGCACCGCACCCCAAAACTTGGGACTATACAGTCATGACACTACCCTACTTCAGCCAGCCACAAGGAAATTCAAAGAATTCCGGCCCAAAAAGGGCCTGGCCTACCACTCCTTCACTGGAGAGGAGCTTACAGAAGACTCTTGGCAAGATCATGCCGTTGCCTGCAGGGGTGGACGATGATCCATAATTTGAATGTTCAAATGCCATAGAGAGAAAACACAAGAAACAGATAAGGTGGGTGTGTGAATCATGGGTGAATCTGTGGGTACCCCGGCCATTTCTTGAAACGATGAAGTTGAGGACCACAGCCAGGTTTCTTGCCACGTTTTCTTTTTGCAGAGGCTCCGTAGCCCAGGATTTGGTCCCCTTGCTCTTCACTGGCATGGGCAGTGCTGCAGTGGTTTTGAGCAACCCTGGAAAGGTGCGGCCAAACTGAAGGCAGCCAAGGATTCCAAGGGCCACGGCGACATGCCGAAGCCAAGCCTTGAAGGGAGACTTGGCCAAGCTTCGGTTGCTGGAGTTGGGCTGAAAAGCTGCACAGGCGGCTTCTCCGACAGGTTAGACGGTTCAAGAATACCCTGAAACCCCTCTTACTGCATAGGAAAGTGGAAATTAGCATGGCATAACTGGCCATAACATACTGTGCAAGACTGCAGAGTTCAAGTTGCCGCACTACTCCCTGCAGCACTGCGCTGAGGACAGGAGGCAAGTTGCAGCGAGGAGCAGACATCCTGCAGGGCTGTGATGCCTTACTGGTGCTGGTGACAGATATGTGAAGTGCTACGAAGTGCTTCAAACATGTCCTTGTAGATGTGAAATTGGGGTATAGCCATATGTTGGGCACCTGGCATGCCCTGCACCTTTGGGCATTCAAGACACACCAACCAACTTGTCCAGTGGACAAATGCCCGATTCCATGCAGCAATTTCTTGATCAGAACACTTTCCCTCTCAATACCGTGCTTTGTGTCGCTTGTCGTCATGAACGCTTTCATGAAGCTGATGTTCTTTACTGCATGTTTGCTGTTTGCCAAAGGTGTTTCGAGCGAGGACAGCTGTGATGCTGCTGCGTCCAGCCGTGTGCTATTGCAGAAGACGGTGGCCAAGAGCGAACTTGCGACTGCAGCGGACACTGAATGGTTGTTTCAGTTGTTTCATCTACCCTCCGGTGATTCAACCTGGCGATGTTGCAGTTGTTGATCAGTTGGAAGTCGTGATTTCCATGATTACCGGAGGGTATCCTCTTGTCAACATTGTCAACTTAAAACCATCATTTTGGATCATTTTGGGATGATCATTGGCGATTCTTGAGCTATGGGATGATGGATGATGGGAACACGACTCGGTTGATTCGCCTAGGCGTTCAACTGGAAGTTGGCTGGTCCAGGTGAATCATGCGACGTTGGCTGCGCAAGCTATGGGACCGCCCGGGGAAGTCTCCGCGGGTGGAAAAGCCATGGTCTTCCGTTTGGAATTTTCCCTGAAACCCAGTTTGATCCAGTTTGTATGTGTCAAACTGTTTCTACTGCATCTGAATGGGTGAAGAACCGCCAACAACCAATGAGATCAAGCCTGCAAAAGGCTGAACATGTTTAAAACCATACTGGCAGAGATGACAATGCCGATAAAACAGTATCCGTATTTTTTTGTAAATGAATTTTCAGGGATGGGTTATTCAGTATTCGTCAAGAAGCCTTCGGATCTTCAGAGATGTTTCTTCGATTGACCACCTTAATGTTTCGTGAAGATGCTTTGCCCCCGTGCCTGGAATATAGACTGTGCCTACACGGCCTACACGTTGATGTCTCAGCATTTTGAAGCACGGTGTCCATGGATAGGGACAATGATTGAACAACTGGATTTTGCAGTTTTAAAATTTGAGATATGCCCCTCAGGGCCAGGTTTGTCCATGTTCTCAGTGGCATGGTTTAAATCACCTGAATCATCAAGACGTATCATGGCCTATCCCAAGTTCACCACGTTGAGGCCCTCGAGCTCAGCTCCGCAGGATGTTCTGTCATGGCTCGCAGATCTTTTCCGTGGACAGCGCTCAGCAGGTGATTGCTGCTGCCCAGGAAGCGGGACTGACATGCAACGGCACAGCAGGTAGGGACGCTGGCAGATGGGGTCGGCGGTTTCGGCAGGCTGCAGGCTTCAAAGTTTGAATAGACCATCAGGTTCCAAAAAAAGCCAGAGAGAGACGACAAAATGTGGTGGGTGGAAGGGAAACTCCCAGCTAAGAATCCTGACTTGCTTGGTTAAAAGCCCTTGATCAATTGTTGTTTATGATTTCATAAGTGATGTTAGACAAGGGGATGAGGTTGACAGGGGCCTGGAACTCTGGCAAAGGGTTTGAAGAACCACCTAATATAGTAATATAGTTATTCCGACGATTGAGGTTCTGAAAGCATTCCCCAACATCCCTCCCAACAGCTCACGAGAGGATAGTTTCAATTGGGTCATGCAGAGTTTGGACCAGATCCGTTTGGCATCTGGGTATTGCACACTCTCATGCGGGTCAGCATTTTTTCGCTCCAGTAATCCATGTTGACAACCTCAGGCTGGGGCTATGAGAACATGCCTGCTATTTGCAGCGATGCGTCCTGTTGTGGTGGCAACTGTGTTGGTATTTGCGCCTATGGCATCCAATTGACGAACAGCTGTGGTGGAAACGCGGGCGGAAGCTATTCCCGGCTCTGCCCATGTGGCAACGAAGCAGAAGTCACCACGACGCTCAGCTGCAATCAGCAGCTGACCGGAGCATCATCAATCTCGATGGGTATGGGATCAGTCAAATTTTGATGGGAAGGTTTCACTATTGAAAATCCAGCAAACACCGTAGTTATACTTTTTGAGGTTTAGGATGCCCATATCCAAAGAGACTCCGTGGACAACAACTTTTTTTTGCTAACGGATGCTAGCAGCCGATATAGGTGGTGTCCTTTGAAAGGCAAGGCCACATGTCCAGGAGAACTTGATATT